GTCTTGGGACAGGGATGCGCTGGAAGCCACGTGGTGGGAGTGGAGCGCCCGGCGCCCCAAGTTCCTTCCTCTGTGGACCCAGGGGTGCTGGCCAGGAGGAAGTGGAAGTGCTCGCGGGCTTGCGGCGCAGACGGCGGAGCGGGGGCTAGGGCCGGGGCCGGAAAGGAGAGGCTGCCAGGTCGCGGCCAGGATGAGTGGGGCCGCAGCTCCCCCGGCTGGAGGGAGGCTGGGTCAGCGCAATGCCTGTGGCACCCGGATCCAAAGCAGGGGTCTGAGGCGGGTTTGCACTTCTTGGAAGAAGCTGAGCGCCGGGAGGAAGGCTCCTAAGTGCCAAGATTTCACTCTCTTGACCTGGGTGCACCCTGGCAAAGAACTGGGGTGAGGGGAGGGCCAGCCAACGCACCCCTGCCTGCGGGGTCAGTCGCACCCAGTGACCCTGCCCCACAGGGTTTCCAAAGCGGTGGTCTTTTACAAGCCGACTGTCTCACCTTCCTCCCACTGAGCCGCTGGTGGGTTTGAACTGGTGAATTTTCAGTTAGCCACTGCAACAGCAGGGACCCCCTGCCTCTTCCAGTTCCTCCTTTTGTCTGCCTCTGCTACCGCCATTCAGCAGAGGAAGGGCTTCGATGGGACACATGTGCCCTGCTCACAGTTTCCTCCCTGCATGTAATAGTGGCATCATCAGATTCTTAGTCAATGTCAAGTCTCTGAGGTCTGTCCTGCTGATTCGAGCCCCTCTTGTGTCTGCTCCTGCTGGCCTCCTGCCTGCAGGGTTCTAGGGCTTGGAGACTGAAGGGATGTCCCCCTGGGGTGTCCGGCAGACTCCAGCCTCTCTCATCTTCCTTACACTGCTTGGTGCCTGCTGCCATGAGCTGACACCCTGGCTGTCACCTAACCCGTGACTGGCTGCCCCCGTTCAAGCTGGGCAGTAGCTGTGTTGCCACAGCAAGGGCAGCGCTGTGAGGGGTCCCTTCAGCTCTGGAGAGGCTGTGGGATCACAGCAGGTGCAGAATGGGAGAAGGGGTCCCAGAACCTTTGGGTCTGACAGAGTTGACGTGTCCAGCCTTCTCTCAGGCAAATCTGGCTTGCCAGCTCCTTCTGGCCTCTGGCCTTGGCCCTGGACTCCTGGCTATTGGCCTTAGGGTGGGGGAGATGCGTGTGATCTTGACTCTGGTCTCTTCTCCCTCCAGTTGGGCCCCACGCTGGACATGCCTGTCCCCGCCAGCTTCAACGACGTGACCCAGGACGGGCAGCTGCGTGGCTTTATCGGCTGGGTGTGGTACGAGCGGGAGGTGACCTTGCCCCAGCGGTGGACCCAGGACCTGGGCACACGCGTGGTCCTGAGGATTGGCAGCGCCCACTACTATGCCATTGTGGTCAGTGTGCTGGACAGCAGGCCGAAGTCTGTCTTTCCTGGGCGTGGGGAGGGGGTGAGCCTGCAGGGTGTCCCCCTCATGCCCAGGCTCCTCTCCCCGTATCTGCAGTGGGTGAATGGGGTGCATGTGGCCGAGCATGAGGGGGGCCACCTTCCCTTTGAGGCCGACATCAGCAAGCTGGTGCAGGCCGGGCCCCAGGAGTCCTGCCGGGTCACCATCGCCATCAACAACACGCTCAGCCTGACCACCTTGCCGCCCGGCACCATTCAGTACAAGACAGACCCCTCCAAGTGAGCTGCGCCCACTCCCTGCCCGCTCTGCCCAGCAGCCTTAGCAGGGATCTGAGGCCACTGTCCTCCCACTCCAGGTACCCCAAGGGCTACTTTGTCCAGAACATAGCCTTTGACTTCTTCAACTATGCCGGACTGCACCGGCCAGTGCTCCTCTATACCACGCCCACCATCTACATCGATGACATCACAGTCACTTCCAGCGTGGACCAAGACACTGGTGAGGGCTCCTGGCAGGCTCTGTCCTTGGCCAGGGTTGGAAAGATCCACCCCGCCCCCCACCCCGTCGAGCAGTTGTAACGCTGACGGAGCCCCATCTACCCTGTGCGTTTGCCATCGAGTCTGTTCTACCTCACAGCGACCCACAGACAATAGAGCAAAACGCTACCCAGGGCCACACCCCCTCCCAGCCCCCAGTCCTCTCGTGGCCCCTGTGTGGGCGGCTCATCTCCCAGCACTCTGTCAGGCTCTGTGCGGAGCCCTGGGGGTTTTCATTGGCCGATTTCCAGAAGTAGATCTCCAGGCCTTTCTTCCTAGTCTATCTTAGCCTGGAAACTGCGGAACTCTTTCCCTGGGATTTCCCAGCTGCTATTTGAGATCCTGGTGGCAGAGCTTCCAGCATGATAGCAACGTGTGAGAAGTCCCCTCAGAGAGTCAGTCAGACAGACATGCGTGGCAGCCCCTCCCTCTCAGAAGTGAAAATCCAGTCTGAGTGGACCAGAGCTCCTGACAGCCCATCTAGTCAGTCCTCACTGTTTGAGGACACTGAGGCCCAAGGAGAAGTGGTCCTGATTACAGTCACATGCCCCACAGGTGTCCACTCACTGCAGAGGGAGCCCCAGAAACACACAGTGGCTCTGTGGGGCCCAGGGGCTCAGTGCAGTGGTGGGAGAGGGCGGTCCCCATTTGTGTGGCCTGGGCCAGATCTCCCTCAGCCCTCCCCGTCTCCTGCAGGGCTGGTGAACTACCAGATCTCCGTCCAGGGCAGCCAGCACTACCAGCTGCAGACGCGCCTTCTGGATGCGGAAGGCCAAGTGGTGGCCCAGGGCCCCGGGGCACAGGGCCAGCTGCAGGTGCCCAGCGCCCATCTCTGGTGGCCATACCTGATGCACGACCACCCCGGCTACCTGTACTCCTTGGAGGTATTGGTCACATTTGTCCCTTCACCTGTCCAGGTCTGGGCCAGCAGGGCCGACAGATCCTCTCAGCTGCCCAGACCATTAGAGTAGTTGATGGTTGTTCATTTGAAAATGGTGCAAATGAGCACAGAACCGTGGCCCGCGCCAGCAGTGTGCACATGCGCAGCTGGGACGCTGGTTAGTCCTCATGCTGGGCAGCCAGCCTGCCCTCCTTCAGGCGGGCTCCTCGCCACTGCAACTCAGAGCAAAGGCTGCCGGCCTTCTGCCAGCCCTGTACCCCTACCTCTGCTTCCAGCTGCTGGCGACGTGTGCAAAGCCCCTGTTTTTGCCGATTTCCTTATTTGTCTGTCACTGAGCCTGGCCACAGGCCCAGAGTGTTCGGGGTGGTCAGGGACCTCCTTGCTCTTGGCGAGTAGCCCCGCCCCGTGGAAAGGCCTTGTCGCTCATCTTAACTTGTGAAAACCTTTCCTGCTGTTTCCATATCCTGCTAGATGCCACTGCCCCCAGCCTCCGTCTTGTCAGCCCGTGGGGGGGTCCCCAGTTCTGAGGAGCATGGTGGCAGTAGGGGTGAGGGTGGGGCTCCCTGTGTCTGCCTGTCCCCAGGGAGTACGAGCATCCTTCCTGGGAGTGTCAGGGTCTCATGCCCTGCATGCGCATTGCAGGTGCGGTTGACTGCGCAGGCGCCGACGGGGCCCGTGACCGATGTGTACACGCTGCCGGTGGGGATCCGCACGGTGGCCGTCACGGAGCGCCAGTTCCTCATCAACGGAAAGCCGTTCTATTTCCACGGGGTCAACAAGCACGAGGATGCAGACGTGAGTGTCCGGACCCCGACAGTGGAGGGCAGCTGCTGAGCTGCTCCCTGCGGGGTCTGCAGAGCCCGCTGCCGGGCACTTCTCCTGGACCTTGGCGCTGTGGGTTAAGCGGTGGGCTAGCTGCCAAGTCGTCGGCAGTTCAGACCCACCAGCTGCTCTTTGGGACAAACATGAGGCTCTCTATTCCCGACAAGATTGCCAGAATTGGAAACCCCAGACAAGGTGGTTAAGAGCAGAATCAGCTCAAGAGCCATGGATTTGGTTTCTTGTCCATGCATGAAGAGTCCTAGTGGCTCAGTGGTTAATTGGTGGGCTGCTGACTGTTAAGTCAACAGTTCAAATCCACCAGCTGCCTTAAGGGGACAAGTTGAGGCTGGCTGCTGCCTTCAAGATTGGCAGCCTGGGACCCCCTGAGGGAAGTTTTGCTCTGTCCTGCAACTTCAGTAGGAGTAGTGGTTGACTGAAGGGCAGTAGGAGGGGCACAGATTCCAAAAGGCTGGACCCCATAGGGTCCCTGCCCACTTTGCCCAACATGCTGCTCCCAGATCCGCGGGAAGGGCTTCGACTGGTCACTGCTGGTAAAGGACTTCGGCCTGCTGCGCTGGCTGGGCGCCAACTCCTT